CCCCTGCCACCCCGCCCCCCCCCCCCCCCATGTCCTCCTAGGAAACTGAGGGGCGCAGGAGCTCCAGAGGCGAGCGGGGCAGGGGCCTCAGGGGCACCCTGACCTCCCCTGCCTCTGGCCAAGGACAGAGGGTCAGTGCTGGGCCTCCGCTGCTTCGTGTCGCTGAGGGCCACGCCCACGGACCACAAAGAGACGAGAGGGAGTGGTTTGCCTGCCGCGCGGGCAGACGGAATGAACAGTGGGTCCGGCTCCCGGAGAGAATGACCTTCCCACGCTCTGTGACCTCCTCAGTTTCTGAGTCTCCCCACGCCCGGTGGTCTGAGGCCACACTGGAGGAAGCCCACACCGCTCAGCCCGCGGGGAGCCCGGGGTGGGAACCCTGTCATTCATTGTCATTTCATCAGACTTGCTTCAATTCCCTCCTTTCAAAATGGCTCAGCAGGAGAAATGCTGGTTTACGTCGCCCCCTCGTGGTGAGTGGTTGCAAACACCCAACCCACAGGAGTTTTTGCCGAGACTGTGGTATTGAAGTTCATTGTTTTATTCTGCATCGAAAGGTCATGAAAACGATTAAGCAAAGGAAAGACAACAGACCTCTTAGCCAGGGGCTTGATCCTTAGTTGGGGCACCTAAGGGAGACCCTATTTTCCCTCACACTGATGCCCTCTCCCCCCCCCCCCATCCTCTCTCCCTCTCTCTCATACCCTTTTCTGAAATAATGTAATTTCCCCCCAAAGCGCTGCCTATTTACCCTGGTGGGGGCCGGGGGGGGGGGGGGGGGAGCCGGGAGGAGCCTGGAAAAAGGGAAGTCACCCTGACTTCCCAAAGGTCTGTTATCTTAGATGCAAGAGAGAACAGACCGGCTAAGGCAGGGAAAGACTGACTTCCGTCGGGGCAGATTCTAGCCGAGGCCATGACTCCCCAGCATACACTGCTTTTACTTTAAACAGCTTTAATCTGCCCGCGGCGTGGCTCAGTGGTCGAGCATCCACCTATGCACCAGGAGGTCAGGGTTCGATTCCCCGCCGGGGCACAGGCCTGGGTTGTGGGCCCGATCCCCAGTGCGGGGCGTGCAGGAGGCAGCCGGTCCCTGATTCTCTTCAATGATGTTTCTCTCTCTCCCACTTCCTTCCTCTCTGAAATGAAAAAATATTTTTTTAAAAAGTTGTACTTTTCGACCATCCCTTGTGGCTACGTCAGGCTCCTGAGTTTGCACGGCTGCCCTGAGCTGGCCAGCTTAGCCTGGGCCCCGCGTCCACAGCACGTCCCCCCCGCCCGCCCGCAGGCAGCCCCCACCCCGTTAATCCAGCCGCTCACCCGCTGCCCCTCGGGCTCGGAGGCCCCTGGGAAGGGCTTCTCGTTCCTTCCCGAGACAGGATGCCGACTCCGGGGCCGGTTCTGCGGGCGCGGTCCGGTGACCAGCCCTCGGGTCCTGTTCTTGACCCAGCAGCCACCACAGGGACCGGGGAGCGGCCTCGGCAATCTCCCCCATTAACCAGCCTCCTCTCTGGATTCCCGTTGGCAGTTAGTCCACCTGTTTACCCCGCATGCAGGTGCTCCTCGGCACCGCTAGCATCTGCTGCTGAAAGAAGTGCGCTTGTGCCCTGGCTGGTGTGGCTCAGTGGATAGAGCGTCGGCCTGTGGACTGGAGGGTCCCGGGTTCGATTCCACTCAAGGGCACATGCCTGGGTTGTGGGGTATGCAGGAGGCAGCCGATCCATGATTCTCTCTCATCACTGGTTTTCTATCTCCCTCTCCCTCTCCCTTCCTCTCTGAAATCAATTATATATATAAAATTTATAGTGCGCTTTGTGACTGTGACTAAGGTGTGGAAGACAGAATCCCAAACTGGTGGACCCAGTAGGAGGCTCAGGCTGTGGGCGGGCCGCTGCTGCCACCTGGTGGCGGAGCCTGGCATTGCTGGTCCCGCAAAATAACCTGCGCTGATGGTCCCATCGAATCATCTGCAGGTGCGTCTTGAGGCAACTCTTAGAAACCAAGATGCAAAAACCACGAAGCTGCGGCACACTGGGGGCTAGGGCTGTTCGCTAGTCTGTTACTGGAGGCGAGACCTCTGCCTGCATCTTTCACACACATCAAAAAATAGTGAAGGTGATTGGATGAGTGGGTAGAGGTAAGTGAGGCAGGAGCACAGGAAAACGTTAATTGTGGAATCCAGGTGGTGGCTACATGGGCGATGGCTGTGAAATGGAACAATTTTGTTCTAGGGGCTGTCACTTTAAACTTGCTTATACCGTTCGTTTTAACAGTCACTCTATGGGGTGTTATTATTATTATTTTAAAAATATATTTGTCTTGATTTCAGAGAGGAAGGGAGAGGGAGAGACATAGAAACATCAGGGAAAATTTTGCAAGTCATAGCTCTATATATAAGCGACGGAATGACCGAACAGCCGAACAACCGAACAACCGACTGGCTGGTTGCTATGATGCGCACTGACCACCAAGGGGCAGACGTTCAATGCAGGAGTTGCCCCCTGGTGGTCAGTGTGCTCTCACAGTGGGAGTGCCACTCAGCTGACTGACAGGCACCAGACACCTGGCTCATGGCTGGCAAGCGCAGCGGTGGTGGCACGAACCTCTCCTGCCCCCGCGGCAGCACTACCCAGGGCGATGGTGGCAGAAGCAGCGGGGCTGGGATGAGCAGGAGCGGCTGGTGCCTGGCCCAGGCTCGGGCTCCTCACTGGCTGCCTGCCACCTTGTGCACGACTACACTCCTCCGGGGATGTCGGGCTGCTGACATCCCCCGAGGGGTCCTGGATTGCAAGAGGGCACAGGCCAGGCTGAGGGACCCCACTGCTGCACGAATTCGTGCACTGGGCCTCTCGTATCTCCTAAGGGCCTTGGATCTGGATTATATCAAGTACACTAGCAACCTTTGCCTTGACTGATGTGAGTGACAAAGAAAGTAATGTCATTTTCCCCCAAGCCTCAGAAATCATACAATATCTTTGAATAGACTTTGCAGTTCATTCAATGATAGATAAGGCCTATGTTTTAGAATGCAAATCCATGTTGGCTAATATTCGTGATTGTAAGATTGACCCTGGGTACTTGTTAGAACTCCAGTCCTCGGTCCCTGTTCTGGAGCCTTTGGCTCTTTCTGATAAAGAGGATCCCAAGTGTCTTAATTTTAATGAACACCCAGGGAAGGTATTGTTTTTAATCTTTGAAAGTAGTTACTTGTAGTTACCAGAAGTAATCGTGTGTCTTAATCCATTAATCAACAAAAGGTTGTATTTTTTTAAAAATATATTTTATTGATTTTTTACAGAGAGGAAGGGAGAGAGATAGAGAGTTAGAAACATCGATGAAAGAGAAACATCGATCAGCTGCCTCCTGCAGATCTCCTACTGGGGATGTGCCCGCAACCCAGGTACATGCCCTTGACTGGAATCGAACCTGGGACCTTTCAGTCCGCAGGCCGACGCTCCATCCACTGAGCCAAACCGGTTTTGGCTAAAGGTTGTATTTTTAATAAAGATAATATTATTTAGTATTGTATAGATTGAAATATTTATGATTTTTGTAAGTTGCATTAGGTTTTATATGATCAAACACACGTTTAAGGTAGTTTTTCATCTGCTATTTAATGATCAAACGGAAAATGAAAATCAATCTAGGTTCTTAGAGTTGAGAGACAATTTCCAACACTCTCTACTCCATCTTGTATGGAACAGAAGGCTTTGTGCAGTCACCTAGGAATTTGACGCCCTCATTGAAAAGGCTCAGAGTGGCGTCCTCCGCAAAGTAGGCTTGCTACCATGCCCCTAGGAAGGCTCGCAGGGCCCATAATGCTTCAGTCCAAATGCTCCGTCACTTTCTCTGTAAAGAGAAAGAGAAAGGAGACATTATTATACACAGCATTGAACATTGCTGGGCATTACACTGAGTCAGTGGTTCTCAACCTTGGCTGCACTAATGTTGTGGCCTCACCCCATAACAAAGAAATAGAATTTCCGGAGGATGAGGCCCAGAAATCAGGATTTTAAAAAGATTCCCAGGTGGTTCTGATGTGCAGCCAAGGTTGAGAACCACTGCCCTGAGTGCTTCTAAATGAGCAGCAGGGCGAGGAAAGGCTATGCCCCCGCCACAGCCAGCTGGGACCCACGTGCTCCCCAGCCCTTCACGCATCCTTCCCTCAACTGGGGCTGCTGGGCTCTTCCTACATGGTCAGTCCTGGCTCAGTCGTGGAAACCACCCGGACTGGAGAGAGGCGAGGACTGGAGATGGTTTTGATGGTTCTCTCGGAGTAGAAGCCACTTTGGGGATTAAATAAGAGGAAACAAATTTGAGAGACAATGAAGAGGGAAGTGGGAAGACTGGACCTTTAGACTGCAAACTCCTTGGCGTGAAGCAGATGGGAAAGGAGTGGGTGGCAGTGTCCTGGGAGGCCCTGCTCTCTAAGGAAGGTGCGCAGGCCATCGCGGAGTTTGGGAGGCAAGGTTGACCCCCAGAGGGGCCCCTTCCCAGCACGAACAGGCTCATTGGGGTGGATCTCAGATTCCTCTGGTCAGGCAACGTTCGGTGCTCAGTTATGCCCCTGTAGCTTGATGCTGCATCACACAGATGATCAGGTCTCATGTGGACTTCAGAATTCAATCTATTGGCCTTAGACCCATTAGTAAGTCCTAGTGGTTAAATTAATTGATTTGTACATTTCCAGAATATCCAGCAGATATATTTAGAGGTCAAATACAAATCTGCTTTTGCAAATGAGAACTCCCAGGAAAGGCACCAGTGTGATCCTGTGGCATTTACTGAGATAGTACAATTTTTTCCCTCCCCCCCCCCCCCCGCCAGGTACTGTGCCTAGGCTATCAGAAACATGGGTTTTCCTATCATCTTGTGATGGTCTCCTCATTATTTTGGAAGAGCCGATATTTAGCCTTATATTCTTACAACATTGCACTGCAGAAAACGCATCTATTGGGGTAAGTTTGCTCATTCGTTCCGCAGACTGGATCCATTTCTTTGGTGCACGAATATAATCGACCTATATATCTATCACAGTCTGGCTGTCAAACATAAAGAACAACATAAAATTTGTCAGATAATGAACTTTTAAAAAAATGTCTTTAACCTTAGTACAAGATACCATGCATCCAAATGGAATGAAAATATTCTATATTGAGGTTTGGAAATAAACAATCTACTTAGTCATAAAATATTATTGATATATTTTTACAAACCCAATATCATTTTTAAAAGCAGGCCAATGGCTGGATGTATTGTTATAATGCCACCACTCTCCTCTCCCCTCCCCTCATGCCTTCATCATATTTCCCTCATTATTTCATACCACACGGATCAGTAAAATGGAAAGTTAATACTTTCCTTATCTTTTTCGGTGGTTTCATTACTAGAGAGTCAGATACATTCAGATTATTTCCACATATGTATATATTCACATATATTAGTATTTACATTATACGTATAAAATTTGGTTAGTAATGGCAGTATTGGTAACTTACATAAACAATAGGTTGTGTATTCTTACATGACTGCATTTTGAAATGTCTTTGTAACCTTTATTTATTTAGATGTTTCTTCTCTATATATAATATCCTCCTCTATGAATATATGAAAATTACTATTGTATCCACCTCTAAGTGGATAATTTTTGTAATCCTCTTGTTTTGCTAGATAAATAATTCTACTTTAAAGAGACTGTAACCTTTATCAGATGCTTGCAGATAACAAGGATACACAGTAATGGAATCTTTGAAATAATGGACTATTTTATCTTACCTAAAACTAGAGGCCCAGTGCACAAAATTCGTGTGGGGGAGGGGGGGCGGGTGGTCCCCTCAGCCCAGCCTGCTCCCTCTCCAATCCGGGATCCCTCTGACAATCCTGGACTGCTGGCTCCTAATTGCTCACCTGCCTGCCAGCCTGGTCACCCCCAACTGCTCCCTCACCAATTAGTTGCCCCTCACTGCCCCCTGCCAACTTGGTTGCCCCTAACTGCCCTCCACCTGTTGGCCTGGTAGCCCCAAATTGCCCCCCTTGCTGGCCTTGGTTGCCACTCATGGCCCCCCTGCCGGCCTGGTTGCCCCACACAGCCTGCTGTTCAGTCGTTTGGTCGTCCCTCACTAACCCCCCTGCCGGCCTGGTCATAGGCAGCCATCTTGTGAGGGTGTGAGGGTTAATTTGCATGTTACCTCTTTATTATATAGGATACCAACTATTTTTATATGGTGGCTAGATTCTATTTAACTTAGTGTAATAAGGGCACAGTTCAAATAAAATTTTTGCAAGGATCATTCTGTTGCACATTTGGTTGGATGAACTTTATTTTTTAATAGAACAAGTGAGAGGGAGAAGAGAGGTAGAAACAGCAACGATGAGAGGGACATCAAACAGCTGCCTCCTGCAGGCACCCTACTGGGGATTAAGCCCACAACCTGGGAATGTGTCCTGACCAGGAATTGAATCAGGGGCCTCTTGGTTCATGGGTCAATGTTTAACCACAGAACAACACTGGCAGGGCTGTTTGGCGAGATTTGCTGCTAAAAATTACAATATAAAGTAATCAAAAGTAGCCCAGCCAGAGTTGCTCAGTGATTGTGCATCGACCTATGAACCGAGAGATCACGGTTCCAATCCTAGTCAGGGCACGTGTCCAGGTTGCAGGGTGCGTCCCCAGTGTGGGGCGTGCAAGAGGCAGCCAATCCATTATTCTCTCATCATGATGTTTCTATATCTCCCTCTCCCTTCCTCTCTCAGATCAATAAAAAATATATTTAAAAAAAATTAAAAGCGTTTTTTAAATTTCCGAATGAATCAGTATTAACTTACCTCCTCGCGACTGTGTCTTTGTGGTGTAAGAAGAGCTCCTGCAACAAGCACACAAGAGAAAATGTAAAAATAAGAAGAAGGGGAAGAAAGCCGAGTCTCTGGTGGGAAGATCCTATACTTCTTAGTAACAAAACTCTATACAAATGGCCTCCTCAGGACCCCCAGTTTCTGAGGGGAGCCTTTTGTGGTCGGATCAAAAGAGTAAGTTCCCAAAGTAAGTCCAAGTCTGGAAATGTAATTCCAAATTAGTCTCATCTGTGAAAACCAATCTGAAGCGTTGTGCAGTAATCATCAAACAGTCCTGTGAAGATAGCATCGTTCTTTTGGTTCATTTCTTAGTAAATGAGACATCCCAGTCAGGGAAGACAATGCCTTGCTTAATGCCACTTTGTACGCCTCGCATACGGCCACTGGACATGGAGAAAGGACCACTTCGTGAACTAGGACTCAGTTCTAATGTCGGGGTCTATTCAACACCTCACAGCCCCTTGACTCAAAGTCACCGTTCTTCTTGCACTAAAGGAAGGTACGTTTTGAATGAGTTCTCACCTTACACAAGGGTTGGACTTTAGTGACCTCAGAACTGGCAGACAAGTGAGATGGCCAAGAATTAGCCGATCCAGGAGACACCATTACCCCTACCATCTGCACTTAGTAAACATGGAGTCTGACCTCCAAAAAGTAATAGTATGTCAATATCTTTAGTCAGAAATGACAAAAAGCTAACTTTTTTTTACTGCTCATTCTAGCCCACCTCTCTGCCCCCATCTCTCTAGGGTGGAAATGAAGAAACAACCCCAGCTATCATCGTAAAAGGGGGTTGGTAACACGCCCGCTTTCGTTTGCCAGTTTAAGTGCTAAAACCCCAACGAAAGGAGCTGTTCCATGTCTGGGTAACAGACGTTGTCTCCTGCGTTTTCTAAGGTGTGTGAGTTGCTTCACCCAGAACTGAGAATGTACTCACCAGAATACAGAGGACATACCAAGGCAGTGATGAAGATGATTGTGAGCAACGATGAGGAGAAGGACATTTTGTCAGATCTGCAGAAGAAACCCGACAGGGATGATTACGACACCTGACACACACAGACACATTTCCTATTTGCAATAGAAGTTTCTTACAGGCGAAGGGCCTGCCTCTCCCCTGGACCCTTATTATGTTGGACTCCTCCCTTTTTTCTTTGCCCAAACCCACAGGACCAAGGAGACAGGCATGGGAACAGAGGCCTCAGAGCCTGGAGACTCCAGGACACGCTCTCAGCGCTTAGGAAGGAGCTGTTCATTCCCGGGCCCCAGCTCAGCCCACACAGCCGCCTCCCCTTAAGGAAATATGTGCACAGGAACCGCCTTTTCCTCGGAACATAGAGGCGTTCCAGGAAGGCCTGGCCTGGAGCAGGCCCCACACAGGCTGCCCCCATGCAGCCCACAGACCCTCCCCACCTCCCTGAACGCCAAGGCAGCGGAGCCTGAGGCCTAGAGAGACTGTGCCCCTTTGTTCCCCTTTCCTGTCAGCGCCTTCCCCAGCTGCGGGGTCTCCTTGGTCGGCTGTTGAGGCGCTGGATGGGGTTAAAGTAATGGCTCCTGATAACATAAGGCAGAGGTGTCCTGTGTTCTGCCTAAAAGAGTGTGAGACGTGCAGCTCAAAGATTTCCTGTAGGTCTTCCCTCGGCAGGAGGTTTGGGGTGGTTTTATGATGTTATCCGAACTGTGGGGCGGGGGTAAAGTGGAAAACAGGGCTTCGGAACCCTAAAAGAGAAGAGAGACGTGACAGCTTTTCAAGCTACTGAGTTGGAAGAAAGGAGAATCAAAGCAAGGAAGAGAACAGTACATTTTGGAAACAGTAATTAGACCCATACATAGGCCTTTTGTATTTTGAAACACTGGGGGCACATTCGACTCAATCTGAGATTTGGTTTGTTAAGCTTTTTATTTTGAGATAAACAGAGAGTCTCATAAGGCTGCAGGTACTAGTGCAGAGAGTGCCGGGAGCCGGTCCATCCTTGCTGTTTCAAGGGACCTGGCATATATGGCATACTGTTCTTAATATGTTTGCTCACCTTCTTGGGCACTATTGTTTAACCAAGGTCTCTGAGAAAGGTGTTTCCCCAGGTAGGGATTTTCCCCTGAAGTTAGGGAGGGGATAAAACCCCTCAACTAAGTGCCAGGCAGGTAATTAATCACTTTAACTATGAACAATCATGCTTAAGCTACATAATCTTTACTCCCTGGAATGGAGATAAGAAACGCCCTAACCTTTGTAATAGAGATTGATAGGATTGGAATCAACTGGTATAAATACAGTTGTAAGAAGACAGAACTTAGAATACAGAGCTTAGAACACAGAACTAAGAGAGACAGAACCTAGGCACAGAACCTACACAGAACATTCTCTAGAGACAGAAGAACTTCGCTGGAGAGAACATGGCAAAAGATCCTGGACTGAAATTGGCCTCAGAATCTACAGAACCTAGCGAGAGAACATGGCAAAAGATCCTGGACTGAACCTGACTACAGAAATTGGCAAGAGAACCTGACTAGAACCTGGTGACTGAACCTGGCTACAGAACCTGTCTGGAGAACCTGGAGAACCTGGCTGGAGAACCTAGCGAGGGAACATGGCTACAGAACCTGGCTGGAGAACCTAGCAAGACAACTGGACACAGAACCTGGCTGGAGATCCTAGGCAGAACTTCGCTGGAGATCCTGGATGGGCTGCTGATCAGCTGAACGCTGTCTCCGTGTCTTTCCTTCTTCGCTGACTCCGTCCTCACCTATGGGGAACCCCTGGACCTGCTGGGGCTGGACCCCGGCAAGAGAGTTCTATCATGTTTCTTTTAACCAATTCCCCCCGATGGGAGCATCTCTCATAAAGCTACAGTACAATTTCACCACCAGGAATACCTAGGAAGCTCCAGGTGAAGAGTAGGCAGCTGGCTTTGAACCTGGGCTCGAATACAACATGCAAATATTAAGACCAGGAGAGCGAGAAGGCTCAGGAGTGAAACCGAGATTAGGAGGGATGATGCCCTAAATTTTATATTGAATCATTTGATCTGAGGAATAAGTGAAGAAAATGAGATCAAGTCAGTATAGCCCAGCTGGCTTAAAATAGACTCTGTATAGTCAGGCTGACAAAAGTAGCTCAAACCAATGTGTGGACACACCAGGAGGGGGTTTGATGTTAACCTGCCGGGGACTCATAAAGGCGGGCTAGTTCATGTTCATGAATAGGGAGACTGAGTATTGTCAAGATGTCCGTTACTCCCAACTTGACCTAAAGATTCAATACGGTCCCAGTCAAAATCCCAGCAAGTCATTGTGTGGCTGCCATTAAAGCAATTCTAAAGTTTATATGCAAAGGCAAAAAACAAAAACAGAATAGCCAAAGAGTATTGAAGGAGAAGAACAGAGTAGGAGAATTGATGCTACTCACCTACAAGACTTACTATAACTAACTCAACAATCAATAATACAAGTGTGTTATTGGCAAAAAGAGACAAGTCAATTCATGGAGCAGAACAGAGATTCCAGAAACACAACCTCATAAATGAAGCCAAATGGTTTTTGAGAAATGAGCGAGGGTAATACGATGAGGCAAAGATAGTTTCCCAAAATTAGTGCCTGAACCACTGGATATCCACATTCAATCAAATAAATGTAAACATAGACCTTCTCCCCATCACAGAAAGTAATGCAATATGAATCATAAAACGAAATGTAAAATGCAAACTATGAAACTCCTAGGTCAGTGATGGCGAACTTTTTGAGCTCAGCGTGTCAGCATTTTGAAAAACCCTAACTCAACTCTGGTGCCGTGTCACATATAGAAATTTTTTGATATTTGCAACCATAGTAAACAAAGACTTATATTTTTGATATTTATTTTATATATTTAAATGCCATTTAACAAAGAAAAATAAACCAAAAAAATGAGTTCACATGTCACCTCTGACACGCATGTCATACGTTCGCCATCAGTGTCCTAGGAGATAAGATAGGAGAAACCTAGATGCCTTTGGGAATGGTGAATACTGTTAAAACACAATGCCAAAGGCATGATCCATGGATGAAATAACTGATAAGCCAGACTTCATTAAAAAATCCTGTAGTGCGAAACACGATAATCAAAGATGAGAAGAAAGCACAGACTGGGAGAAACTATTTTCAAAGACACATCGGTTAAAGGACTGTTAATCCAAGATCAAAGAAATCATAAAATTCCGAAATACAGAAACAGCACTTGGTTTTAAAAATGGGCCAAGACTTTATAAGTACCTCCAGAACGAGTTATATAGAGGGTCAAATCAGCAAGTCTTCTCCACTGATCCCTCCAAGGAAATGAATTTGTAAAATGAAATGCACCTCAGCTATGCGAACGCACCATTCCAAACCTTGACGATACAAGTGCTTGCAAGGACGGAGCAACGGGAAACTCTCTTCCTGTTGGTGGAAATGCATCTCGAACAACCATTTAGAAAAGATTTGGTAGGTTATGACAACTGAACTTATTGACATGCAACTCCAGTAGTATGCTCTTTGCATTTACCTAAAGGGTGGCAATCTTATGCCACAAAAACAAGGGGGGTGGTGAAGCCTTCACCCTGATGTTAGGGCAACTTTATCATAATTGCCACAATGGGAAGCACTCACATGTGCATCGGTAGGTGAATGGAGAAATCAACTGCGGTGCACCCACGATGGGCGTTGTTCTGACTCAAAAAATAGCTATTCGGGCCCTGAAAAGACCGTGGAAAGCTGTAACGTATGTTACTAGTGAATAGGGCCAATCGAAAAGGCTCCAACTGTTAAGCCCACTATCTGATGCTCTGGAAAGGGGGAAACTTGAGACAGTAAAACGATCAGGGTTCCGGGGTAGGGAGGCTGATTGCTGCATACGGGGGCACAGCGGATTTTCGGCAGTAAAAACGATAATCTGTGATGCTGATGTACTCACTATAATTTGTTTCAAACTCCACAGACCATACAACCCAAGAGTACATGTAGTGCACCTACAGGTTTGTGGAATCTGATGTGTTGATCATCTTAACAACTGTTACCCATTTGTTGCCTGTGTGGGACAGGGGGATTGTCTATAGGGAATCCTGCCTTTTTTCTCACAATTTGCTGAGAACCAAAAATTGTTATCAAAGTAATTGTTAAAATTGCACATGCACAGGTTATTTATTTTCTGATGATAATCTTATTGTAAAGTTGAAACATTTATAATGGGAATACCAAAAGATTGAATTATGTCTTGTACTTCACACAGTTTAGTATGATACCTCCTTACGAAGGATAATATGGACATGATATGTATGTTGCTGGAATTTCTATATTTCTCGGGAGAGGGTGATATTTAGGATTTTTACTTTGTAAAATTATTGCAAGCATGTTTCCATTACACGTCTTTTTTAATAATTTATAAAATTGAATGTTTTCCATTTTATAAGTGAGAGATAATCTACCCATATCCTAACAATCAAAGATTTCGCTGATTTAGTCCCATAAAGGTTTAGTGACGGAAGCCACCTCCTGTATCCTCAACTGAGGGAGACACTCTACCACCCGCGTTTTACCTCCGTCACTTTTTTTTTAATTCTCACCCAAGGATAATTTTATCCTTGATGACATGGATGCAGTTCTTTAATGAAGACACAACCGCATATGTGTGCCTTCCTGGCATGACCCTGGCTTAGAAAGTCAAATTGCCAACACCGTGTCCAATGCTGATTTCTACAGCAGATCTAACTTTGTCTCAACACGCATTATACTGGTATTATTGAAACCCAACAAAACCTTCATTTGAAGATATCATTTTGTTGGTGACATTTTTAGATGAAGAAACTGAAGAGCAAGGAAGATAATAACTTGCTGACACTCTAATATAAAGGGAATGAATGAGACGGATTATTTCAGTGCTGTTCCCTATGTCCATGCAATTGCCTCACAATAAACAAATCTCCATTTCCAGGCAGATGAGTTGCGCCTAGAGATAGCAAAGAGGGTTTGTCTAAGGTAAGGCTTTGATGTTAGCACTGATAACTGAATACCAGACCTGAAAGAGATTATTCTAGCAAATTCCATTGGAAAAGATGACCTCCACAACAGACAAGGATCATTCAAGTGCTTCAGCTCTGTAGGTCAGAAACGGGATGTATTTCTCTGCCC